GCTGAGTCTGTCTTTAAGTCCTTGTCAAGCAAAGACTTGAAGAAGCCGACTGAGTGTACCCTTTTAGGACACATAAGTTGGATCCGACAGATGATGGAGCGCGGAATCGTGCATAGCATTCAGTGGTGCGTTACCCGCGACATGACTGCGGATGGACACACCAAGGGGAGCATCGACAGATAACTGCTCCTACAAGTCATGGGAGGTATACAGACCTTCAACCATGACCTAAAAAGACACACTCCATATCGGGCCGGCCAGACAAGAAATTCTGAGGCCGCCTGAGGAGCACATTATATATGCGAAGCAACTTGCTGGCGGGTCCAACTCCTTTGGGCCTGTTTCTTTTCCTGTCTTCATATCGGTTAACGGCTGAACTGTTTCTGTAATGCAGGTGGTGGACGCACGCTTCGTCTCCCTCCCCCCCGACTCTAAAGCGAGCTGGGGGACGTACGGAGTGGACGCGAGCGGGCGCCCGCGGCCGCCTTGGCTCAAAGCGGCCGGCCGCCCAGATTTGACTGTGCCTCACCGCGAGGCACACCATCGCTATTGATACTAAAAGGCATCCCCTTTTACTTGACATGGCATCCCGTCTTGCATTGAGATGATCGCTACTACGATACAGCCGAGCTGGAGCTTGGCTTCGCCTGAGGCGAAGCTGTTGGCATGGCCTCCCAGCCCCCTTCAAACTCCTCCTCCTCCTCCTCCTCCTCCTCCTCCTCCTCCTCCTCCTCCTCCTCCTCCTCTCTCCTCCTTACGTTCGGAGGATGGATGGGGTGTCGGCGAGCGGCTGAGGACAGCGGCGGAGGAGTTCGGAACCATAGTGCAATTTTGCGCGACAGGAGTGGTCGCCCTGGCTTTGGACAACGGCTTCGATAGCCCAATTCTTCATGGCTCTTGAGGAGCCACTGCATGAGTTTCCGAACGCACCCACGGCGAGGACGAAACGGTCCCACGTCACGATGTCGAAGATTCCCCGATCTGCTCTCCGTCGGGCCATCGAGACCGCTGAGGAGTCTCCGCAGGCTTCCGACAGTGGCGACGGAGAGATGCGTCGGAAAAATGCTGACCCGAGCAGACAGACTCGCTTCCTCCGCTCCCTCTGCGGCGATTTTTTCCTGACTCGATTCCCTCTCCTCTCCCGAAGGCTGCCGAAGTGGTTGTTTGATCTGCCTCTCCCTGACCCTGCGGAGTTTGCCATTCGTTGGTCGGCTCTTAAGTCTGTCTTGTCCGCCCTTCCCCCTTCCCTCATATGGCTTCACCTCAAAACCCTCGCGGGAGCGTGGATCACTTCTGCGCGGGCTGGAATTATTTCACCCAAGGGGTGTCGATTTGGATGCGCCAAGGAGGTCCTTGGGATCGAAGTCTGTGCCCCTGACTCGATCGGCCATTACCTCCGCTGCTCTCGCCTCGCTCATCTTTGTGCCCTCCCCAGAGCGGTGATCCCACAAGATCCGTTGATCCGCCTAGGGTTAAGCGTTCCTTCTGCATATTATGTAGCTTGCGAATACGATTCCATTGATATGAGTCGGTGCAATTTCCTCACTTGTTTAGCGTTCCATATCTATCACACATTAAGGTGTGAGTTATGTCTGAACCCGCACCTCCAAGGCAACTACACTGTGTCTTTCCGTGCCAGGCATTCCGCGCTTGTGTGCTTAGACGGCCAGAGTTCCTCGAGGGGTACCACCAGGCAACCCCCCCGAGCAATGCGTAGATGAGGAGTGATTATACCTCTCTTTCTATGCTACGTACGCTCCTCCTCTCTCCTTCTCCTCCTCCTCTTCCCTTCTCTTCCTTCCTCCACGGACGCTGTGGGGCGAGCGGAGGTTCTTCGGGCGTTTGGGCTGGAGGAGGGAGGGCTCGAACAAGTCCGCGAAATGGGCCGCCGCGTCACTCGCGGCTTGGATGAAGACGAAGATCTGGAGACCGACGCTGAGTTCTGTGGCTGATGACAGTTTTGATGCCTTTAAGGCAAGCCCATACCATAACCTATATTCCGCCTCCTCGTTTTCCTCCTCCTCCTCCTCCTCCTCCTCCTCCTCCTCCTCCTGCGAAGGCCGCGGCGCGGGTCCCTTTGCCGCCGCGCCCGCGCTTGCGCCCGCTCTGAGCTCCAGGAGCGTCGCGACGACACCTCCCGAGCGGGGTGCGGGCAAGCCCGGACCCCGCTCGGCTAGTCGTCCAGCTCCTCCTCCTCCTCCTCCTCCTCCTCCTCCTCCTCCTCCTCCTCCTCCCATTTCGTCTTCTCTCCTCCATCCCAGCGTCACCGACCCGGTCCAGGGGCAGAGCGCCCGGGGACGGTTCGGCTTCTGACGCCGCGCGTCCTTCCCAGCGCCACCCCGGGAACTGCACGGAACCCAGCGCGGGCGGCCAGGCTCTATGACGGCCACACGGGCGCAGAGGATCATGGGGTATGGGACGGTCCCCGCGCCGGCACGTGCGCCCCCCGAGCGGCGGTCCCCAGGAGGAGGAGGCGGCCACGGAAACGGGTATGTTTTTCTACCCCCCCCCCATCCCTCGGGATAATGACTCTTCCCCATTGGCGGCGCGCACAATGGGGCAGCGGGAGGGGGGAAGGTTTCGTAGAAGGAGGCTGCTTCGTAGAAGAAACCGACCCTATATCTGCAGATAAAAAAAGAGGCCAGCGCCTTCTGAGAAGCAAAGGTGTTTTTCTTGCCATCGCTCGGACGTCCATTCCCCGTGCATTATCTGTCATCGTGCGCTTACCCTTCGCAAGACTATCCTAGATGCCACCCGATGGACCTCGCCGAGGAGAAATGCACTCCGCAGAGCGATGCCAAGTTCTACGAAGCGCCGAGGGGGGTAGGGGGAGTGGGGAAGGCTTCTCAGGAGGCGCCAGCCCCACATCTGCAGGTAAGACCCGCGCCTTCTAAGAAGCGGGGGTGCCTCTAAGAAGTCATCCCCCCTTTCCGTAATTACCCTCCCCTGCGCGTGGCTGGCCCTGGCCCTGCCAGGAGAGCCCGAGCACCGATCCTGGGCCCAGCGCGGGCCTGGCCAGGACTGGTGCTGAGTCGGCCGCCTGGGATCGGCCCACGCAGCCGGCCGCCCCCCCCCCCCTTTCCCCGCGGGGCGTCAGCTGACCCCCTCGCCGACCCTGACAGGGCCGATCCTGGGCGCAGGATTCGGCGGCGAGCCCGGGGGAGTAGTGAGAAGGGGCGGGCCTCCTCAGAAGGCTCCGAAGCCCCCCGGCCTTCCGAGAAGTTTTCTAAGCCTTCCCCGAGGACAGACAAAGCTTCTCCGTAGGCGCGAGTGTTTCTGAGATGTCACGCCCCTTACCGAGAGGGCCTTCTCATTCTCATTTCCACCCTTCGCTCGCCGCCGCAGGATTCTCTGGGTCTCAAAACCATGTGGTGACAAACCGTGCGGTGACTTCGCATCCCAGGAGACCTCAACGCGCGGTGCGTAACCACACGGTCTTGAGACCTCGGAGGCCCCGGTCGCCCGAGACGTCCTCGGGGCCCAGGTCGCCCGAGACGTCCTCGGAGAACGACGCGAGTCTCAAAACCGTGCGGTGACTCCGAAGCCCCATTGACTCACCACTCGGTGTAGTCACCACACAGGATGGGTGGCCCCCGAAGGGTCGATGCCTCATTACTTCTCCCTGGCCATGCCGGGAGGGCCCATGCGCTGATATCCTGGGCCCAGCATGGGCCCGGTCGGGATCGGTGAGGCGAACGCTTGACGTCGCCCGAATCCCGAGCTTCCCACCTCCGCTGGAGAAACAAAAAGGTACCCATGCCGCTCCTCCGCGGCGTTCTGGACCAGGATTTCGAGGCGGGAGGAGGAGGAGGAGGAGGAGGAGGAGGAGGAGGAGGAGGAGGAGGAGGAGGAGGAGGAGGAGTGGGAGGAAATGGCCCTGGGCCCCTGGAGCTGGGCTGGGGCCCCTTTTCGGTCCTGGGCCTCTGGGGCCCGCATCGCGCCTCCGCCCCCCCCCTCGCTTTCGGTGCTCTTCCTCTGCCTCTTCCTGTGGCTCCCGCGCCGCTGCTTTGCCTTTTATTGCAGCCCCCGCTCCTCCCCTTCTCTCCACATCCTCCTCCCCCGCTCCTTGCCTCCGGCGGGCACGCGAGCGCCCCGCCGCGCGCCCATCCCCTCCGCCTTGATGTTCTGGCCCGCTCCCTCTCCCTCCTTGCCTCCTTGCTGCTCTCGCCTGCTGCGCCAGCTCAGGCGCGCGGTGGCGGAAGTGGCTGAGTCGGAGCTAGCAACATACAGTGGAAGGGGAACGGTAGGTACATCGCGTCGTGTCATGTCTCGCTGGCGCCACCCGCCTCTGCCCGAGTCGGTTCTGTGTGTGTTGCGTCCAGCACTTCCTCGCCCCCTGTTGATGCTGCTGCTGGCCCGCCTCTTTCCCTTCCATTTCTTTCAGCGGAGGAGGAGAAGAAGGAGGAGAAGGAGAAGAAGAAGGAGGAGGAGGAGGAGGCAGGAGGGTAAGGAGGAGCAGGAGGAGGGTAAGAAGAACGTAGAAGACGAGGAGGACGTAGAGGAAGAGGAGAAGAAGGAGGAGAAGGAGGAGGAGGAGGAGGAGAAGGGGAGAAGCGGAAGCAGGAAACGGAGGATTTGGAGTAGGAGGAGGAAGTAGCACGGTAACGAGAAGGATGTGACTCAATGTGTTTTCAGTCGCAGCCCTCCGTTTATCGCTGTTTTGTCGTTTCCCCCTTCAGGAATGGCTGGGGGACCTGGCTACCTCGCCCCCCTCGAGGGTTCCCCCTCGGTCCTGCGTGTCCTGTCACACACTTTTCACAGCTAGCCTTATTTGACCCTCCCCCCCTGGCGGGAACGGCTTCAGGGGGGTGGATAGCAACGTCCTTCGGCGAGCCACTCGTGCCACCAGCTTCCAGCTCCGAGGAGGATTTGGAGGAGGAGGAGGCGGAGGAGGAGGAGGAGGAGGAAGAGAAAACGGAGGAGGGAAACCAGAATGGAGGAGGAGGAGGAGGAGGAGGGAAAGTCTCCTTGTCCACCTCTGGTCTGGTGCCGCCCCCCAGGCTCTGCGGGATGCTCAGCGAGCGCCGGAAGAGGCCAGAAGAGGGCAACCGACCGCCGAGACCATTCTATGTGTATCATGTACGTTCGTATTTTCTATGTTGATGTTTTGGCATTCCTAGGCGCTGTCTGTGTATCCAGATGTTTTCTTGGGGAGGACCTCGAATAGTTTCCAGTGGCTTCCAACGTATGTATGATGTTTTTCAGCTTTCGGGCGCCAGTGTGTGTTTCTGGCAGCCGCGCCTCGTCGAGGGCATCCTGGGGCTGCTGGAATCGTCCCGGACGGCGTTTGCCGTCCCGACTTGCGGCCTGGAAGCCCAGGCCTTGAGCCCTCCTGAAAACACAATGAGGCCGTTTGCCTTTCAGAGTTTGGGTGGCCATTTTGGATGGCTCGATGGAGCCGCCGTTCGAGGGGACTTGGCCCTGCTGCGTTTGTAAATGTCAGCATTTCCGGCCCACATTTGAATCAGACTCCCTCCAACCAAAACATTTGTCAGAGTTTTTGGGCTTGACGCCCCCTCGCCGGGCCTCAGGACCAGCCACGAGAGAGGGCCCGCCACGCGGCAGCCATGGGGAAGCTGAGCTGCTCGGTTAGGGTGGCTTTCCTGGGGTCAACTACGCAACGACGTGCTCGCGAGTGGACCCAGGATGGTCTCCAGAGCGAGCATCTATGGAAGGCGGGGTCGTGAGCTCTGGAGCCCTGCGCGCAAGGCACAAAGCCCTGACGTCGAAGGTCTGGGGACCACCACCGAGCCTCACCTCCTCCTCCTCCTCCTCCTCCTCCTCCTGATTATCCTTCTCCTTCTCCTCCTCCTCCTCCTCCTCCTCCTCCTCCTCCTCTTCCTTTTCCTCCTCCCCCCTCCTCCTCCTCCTCTGCTCCTCCTCCTCCTCCTCCTCCCCTCCTCCTCCTCCTCCCTCCCTCCCCCTCTCCCCTCCCCCTCCCCTCCTCCCCCTCCTCCTCCTCCTCCTCCCTCCTCCTCCTCCCTCCTCCTCCTCCTCATCATCATCATCATCATCATCATCATCATCATCATCATCATCATCATCATCATCATCATCATCATCATCATCATCATCATCATCATCCGTAGCCATTTTGGCTCAAGCCATTTTGGCTCAAGGCTAAACGGGTAGAAGCTTCGAAGAAGCGAGGTAACCTGATTAGCTTTGGGATATCCATTGCGTGCTGGCTCAGGCAGGGGCCTTGCTGGCGCAGCAGAGGGCTGCAGTTTCTCTCGGCAGAAGACATTCACTTTCGTTTCTCGACCACTCGTCAGGCATGGCGTTGGCGGCAGGCGGAAACGCTAGCACCTCGGGAGGCCCTCAGGATACGTTGCTCGCGAACATTCAGAGGATGCTTGAGACGCAGGAGAAAAATATCACTGGCAAAACGGAGACGCTCATCAAAGAACAAGCTGCTGAAGTACTCCAGCTACGTACGGAGGTCACGGCGAGTATGCACTACATGGAGAGTAAGATCGACACGGCGACGAAGGACACCGACGCGCGCATTTCGAAGTTGGAGCAGATCATGACTGGACACGGCATCCCTGTGGAAGCTGAAAATAAGAACATCAAGGAAACGAATGAGAAAGTTGCTGCATTGGAAGCAGACATAAAGAAATTACAAGTTATGCAATCAGCTACACCTTCGACGGCATCCTCTTTCGGTGGCTCGGCTCGCACCTTCTCGGATTCTAGTGGATCGAAGGCCAGGCGCGTTGATGGCCCCAAGAATGACTCGATACATAAGACTCGCAAATGGATTGGAACATTCCCATCGGATACTTTTTGCTCGTGAGCGCAGATTGCACTACACCAACACGGTACTACCCCTTCTTCCAGCGGATCTTGCGCAAGAGATTACGCCCAACTTCCCTCGCACCGCGAAGACATACAGCTTGGATTTCTCGACCGGGCTTGCCGCCAAGAGGTTCCAGGACCTTGTTGCTGTTTCACCTGATAGTATGAACTGGACGGACCCGCGGAACCAGAGCGTCCACCAGATAAAGAGCCGTGGTGACATGCCGCTTGATGTTCGGGTTCGGCAGAGAGCATGCAGCCACATCTACGCCAAGCTTCGAGATATGCTGTCCGCAGCTGGTCACGACCTCTCCAGCACGCGCCTCGGGGTCAATGGCTACCAGGGCATGATCAACTTGTATGGGGATGCAGACAATGGCGAGATCTGGGAGATGATCTACATCAAGGGCAGCGAAGTTGCGGGCTGGTCGTTCGAGCCAAACCTCACGAACTGCCGCATCTGGAAGCTGAATGACGAGGCTGTCATCGATGCCATCGCGACGGCCACCACTTCAGCGAACAACCCGACCGAGTACCTGTGAGAACTTGGTTCAGAGGCTGCTGAGAGCCTGCCGGCGCAGGCCGTATGTTCTCGCTTGAATTTGATGAACAGAATGCCGGGTGCCTCTGCTATGTGTAGTCGAGGCGGACCTTCCAGGGATATTGCAGGTGATGTGGGGCCCAGCAATATGCCGTTCTCTCCTCCCTCTGCTCTCTCGATTGTCACTTGGAATGCTCATGGTCTTTTTGGTGCGGTGAAGGCTACGAAGTACGCGACCGCCTCCAACCGTTGGGGGAAGTTCATTAGTCTCAGCCGTCGTCACTCAGTTGTGTGTGCACAAGAGACGCATGGTCAAGTAGCAGATGTGTCGCATCTCCAGCATGATCTACGCAACTCTAGCATTGGTCACTCGTTCTATGATGATGATAGTCGCACTGGTGGTGTTATTACAGTTATGTCGTCATCCTTTTCTGCACTGTTTGATTCGATTGAGCATATTCCACTGATTGTCGGTCGAGTTCTTCTCTCTGTCTGCAAGGGGAAGCACGGCACGCTCGTGATTGTGAATGCGCCCCTCCCTAACGTTTGTGATCCCATAGCTACGTACTCTCACTACCTTTCCAGGATTTCTGATGCCCTTCCTGATGCTGCTACGAGTTTTAACATTATCCTCGGGGACTGGAATTTTGTATATGAAGATGCAGGCAGGCTAATGACTGATGGGAGTGGTTTTAGTCCAGGAGATAGGGCACGCACTGACTTGTTCCATCGGAAATGCGGTTCTTGGGTTGAGTTCTTCCAGGAATCTGATACTCGACGGGAAATACGGGGCAAGATTATTTCTCAGACGTCACGACTCGACCGCATATACTCGGACATCCCCTCGGCTCTCTTGGCTGATCTGACCATCAGCACATCTGCGGTGGGGAGGCTTAAGAATATCCAGAGCTCGGACCACATTCCCGTCCTGTCGGTGATCGAGAGATATGCCCCACCTGCCCATGCCCAAGCATTTGTTCCTCTCTGGCTTGCTCGTCATTCTATCTATCAGGAGATGCTGTCCTCTGCTCTTTTGGCTATGCTTGCTGAAAATGACCATGGCCAGCAATGTGCTCTTCAGACTCTCGCTCGTGCCAAAGATATCATGCACACCACGTGTAAGCGTGCCAAGAAAGCTATTGCCAGTCGACCTGCCTCGACGTTATCTGAGAAGTTGCACTGGTCTCTTCATTCTCTTCGTGGTTGGCGTTCGTCCAGGGAGCATATGCGTATTCGTGCTATTGAATGCAATGAACATCTTGGTAGTTTCCTTAATCTTGTTACTCTTGAGCTCGAACATACTGCTGCTCTTTTTGCTCATATCCAGTCTCTGCAGACCCAGATGCTAGACAGCGAGGCCACACTGATTGAAAGCTCCCCGTCTGAAGAGGCCACCAAACGAGCCGCCCTGGAGAAGATAAGTAGGACACAGGACATCTGGAAGCTGTTTCGAAGACGCACCTGGCTTTCAAGTGTGAACGACGCCCATGGAAATCCCTGCTCTTCTCTGGAGGATTCGGCGGCTGCCCTTCGTGACCACTGGGGTGCCATCTTTGGGGACTTCGAGGCTGACACCACTCTTTGGGATGAGATCCGGAGCTTTTCTCAGAAGGCCCCTGATATCTCGGATGAGTTCTGGAAAATCGACTTTGAGGAATTCAATCAGATGCTCCAAGCCCGTTCCCCTTCGATGCCTGGGGAAGATGGATTGCCGTATCAGTGCTGGACGATCGGACCAGCTCCCAAGATTCTGTTTGCTGTATAGTCGGGATTGTGTGACGGCAGCGTCTCCGACTTGCCGACGGATATGCGACGTCTGCTCATGGTTTTCTTGCCTAAAGGTACCAAGCCACATGCTGGTGGCCCGATGCTTACTCGTGATTGCGCTGAGACGCGTCCATTATCCATGGGCAACACAGATGCTAAGCTGCTCTCCTGTGCTTTCTGCATCACACTCTCTCGCATGTCTAAGACGGTTGTTGATGAGTCCCAAACATGTGTGTCTGGCCGAAGTATGCTTGGTAATGTTGTCTCTGCCGAGAGCTGGGGAATTCAGCAAGACCTCCTGGGGCATGATCGTGCCGGTATGCTGCTTACTGATTTCGCTGCTGCTTTCCCATCCATCCTGGTCGGTTTCATGCTTGCTGTGTTGCAATCGATGGGCGCCCCTAGCTTTGTACTCGCGTTCTACACCTTGCTCTATCGTGATGACTACGGTATCATAACACTCGGGGGCAAGAGATTTGATGGTTTCCAGATTCTCCGTGGTGTTCGGCAGGGTGACCCCAGTAGCATGTGTCTCTTTTGTCTCTGCCTAGACCCCATCTTGCGATGGTTGCGATCACGTTCGGGCACTCATATTCGACGGTCACTTGCATATGCTGACGACTGCCTATTTGCGATGCACAACATCCTGACATCCCTGCCGCGTGTCTGGTCCTTGCTTGTTCTCATTGGTCCTGCTTGTGGTCTCTTTCTCAACTCGAAGAAATGTCAAGTACTGGTCTGTGGCACTCTGAATCTAACTCTTCTTCGCAATAGTGTAAATGAATATTCCAATGGCCTGGCTGAGATTGAATTCGTTAGATACGCTAAATACCTTGGCATATATATTGGCCCTGAGGCGGGGGATCTCGGATGGCAGGAACCTCTAAGAAAATTCTGTTCTCGGACCCGATCTCTCAGACAGAT